TCCCAGCCCCTCGCCCCCGGACCCGGACCCGCGCCCGCGCTCACCCGCCGGGTGGCCGTACGGGGACTCGGCCGCGCCGTCCTGCAGGCTCGCCAGGATCTCGCCCTTGCCCACGTCGCTGTCGCCCACCAGCAGGAACTTGAGCAGGAAGTCGTAGGCCCGCACCGGGCTGCCCAGGGCGCTCATCGTGCCGGCCCGGCGCCCCCGCCCATGCCCGGCCTGCGGGGCTGCGCGCAGAGGCGGCGGCCGGGCCCCAAGAGGCGCCGCGCGAGCCCCGAGTCCCCGCTCGCCGCCGGCCCCGCCCCGCCGCCCTGCCCTGACAGCGCACGGCCCCGCCCGGCCCCGCCATTGGTGGGCCGCGGTTGCTGGGGCGGATGCGCGCTTTCATTGGCCAGGCTGTCGGTCCGTCTTACCCTCGTCACCGCCTCCGTGCCGACGCCCACCAGCCCCTTAGAAGAGGACGCCGTCGCCGCAGCCAATGGAAGCCCGGAGACGGGGCGGGGGCGGAGCCAGAGCCCGCAGGGGGCGGGGACTCTGCGCCCGCAGCCAATGGCGGGGCGGGGGCGGGGGCGAGCAGGGAGCGGGGCCGGTGTTTACACTCTCGCGTGCGCCCGTCCGCCCCACGAACTCGCTCCCACGGGCGTCGGGTCTGCGCGCTGCGAGCCGGGCGGGAGGGGCGGGGGGCGGGGCAGGGCTCTGGCTTTGGGGCCTGCCCACGCATCCCCCAGGGAGAAGAAACCTCGGGTGTCGCGCCGCTGGGGCTCAAGGGGTCGGGCCAGGTTGCGGACGCGGCCCGAAGGCCCCCGCAGGCCGCCCTCGTGTCCGGGCTCGCGGCCTCCTCCCACGGCTCATCCGAGCCGCGTCCTTGCTCCATTTACGCGGCGTGCCTGAATGCCTGTGTGTGCATACGCGCCTGTGCACGTGTGCATGTGTTCGTGTGTGTGGATGTCCCTGTGTGCAGGTGTCTGTGTGTACATGTGTCTGCAGGTGTCTGCACGTGTATATGTCTGTGTGTGTACGTGTGACTGCAGGTGTCTGCACGTGTGTCTGTGTGTGTACGTGTGTCTGCAGGTGTCTGCACGTGTATGTGTCTGTGTGTACGTGTGTCTGCAGGTGTCTGCACGTGTGTCTGTGTGTATACGTGT